AACACTGGCTGTAAACTCTTGCGGAAACTTCTGGTTGTTCATCCACTTCCTATGCATATTTGTTACAAAAAAATTTGCAATGATAAGGAAATGATTTCATCCAACAAGATGAAACTGGACAAATTTGTTTGTGCTGTTTGTACCTTAAGGATACATATTTAGTAGTGCTATAAGTACTGTTAAGAAAACTACTCTGGGTGAAAAAAGTATTGCGCATATCAATTTCATACTGATTGTGCTTGTTTACTAATTATTAAATAACAGTATAATTATATGTTGTAGTAGTCTACTAATAATAATAATAACCATCAATCATTTATATTTATGTTGTGTATGACATGTGTATGTTTCATAGCAGTATTTTTTTGCGCTAAATTTGATAAAGAATACATTTCACCCCTCCCCTACCCCCCACCCCCTTTCTGCTCCTCTGATGCAGCAATACACTCTCAGAATCAAAGAGTTAGCACTATTTCTTTACTTTTGCTGGAGCAACTTTTAGTTTACATCTAAACGTTATTGATGTTTATGTTTATGTTGACTGTAGCAAAATCATTTTTGTTTGTCTGTAAGAGCCTTTATTGTTATATTTAATTGGCAAACTTATTTACCTTAAAAATGACTTATAGTTCTAAAAAATATGTCGAAAATTAATTAAACTAGTTTAATTTGTGTATACATCTCCTCAATAAAAACTGGACGCAGAGGGACTCAATTCTTGCACAAGAACGGGAATTCCTGTTCGAGCTGTACGGCCTTATAAATCTGGAGCTGGCCGTGGTACAGCTCTTTAGGCCTACTGTACTCTATATATCTTTTTGTTAGTTGCGTATCCTTTACATGACGTTGCAGAACCAACCCCAGCAATTTTTTTGGCTGTTGTGGTTTTCCTAGGCAAGTTTACGTCCAGTAGTTTGCCACTGCTTTCTGGACGGTCAGCTTCTCGATACCACTGTCAAAACCAGCGCAAAGCCCGCAGCTGGGATCGAACCCGGCACCCCGGCATTACAAAGCGCGTTTGTAGCGCCTAAGCCACAGACGCCGACACTCTATATATCAGACAAGTTAAAGGTGCATAGAAATAATATTACAGAGTGGAGAGAGATGGGGTAGATAGTAAGGGAATTTAAAGTAAAGAGATTTCTACAATTGTGCAGCAGAATTAATGTTATTTTTAAAAATCTGTGAAATTTACATAATAGTTCATTTATTAGCTGTACACCCCAACACAAGATGCAGCAAGCCTTTATAAGGGTGAAAAGGGAAGAAACAGGCGAGAAGAAGAAGAAGAAGAATGTGCAACATATGGGGATAGAAACCAAGCACATGATAACTATCTGAGCCAAAAGTTTGTATAGCAACATCATGTAGCAAGAACCTTTGCAGAGCACTGCTTTCATCATGGAGCAAGGACCTTTGCAGAGCACTGCTTTCATCATGTAGCAAGGACCTTTGCAGAGCACTGCTTTCATCATGGAGCAAGGACCTTTGCAGAGCACTGCTTTCATCATGGAGCAAGGACCTTTGCAGAGCACTGCTTTCATCATGGAGCAAGGACCTTTGCAGAGCACTGCTTTCATCATGGCATGTGAAAAGACTTGGTATTTGCCTCTTCTTTCCATAACCACTCGCTCTATACCACTGTGATGTTAACATTTATAGTATCAGACTATTTGTGTTGGCACTTATGGCAGCTGCCTTACGTGTTTTAATGCTTGTGTATGCTTTTAGTTTTGATGCAGTTAATCGTATCTTGTCATCTGTTTGTGGGATGCAATTTGTCGTTATTTTAAGCCCTAGTCTGGCTCTTGCCAGGGGCTGCAATATAGCCAGGCCATAAATATGGTCTAATGGCTGAACACGGTTTCTGGAACCTCTCAACAGGTGATCCTCATCCACATGGTGGCACTTTGTGTCAACGGGTATTTATCGCTTGTGTGATGTCCTGGTGGGGTAAAAGAAGATAAAAGAGATTTAGTTTTGCTGAGACTGCAGTCTCTGTCAATTGTTCTCGCCAAGGACAGCGATGGTCGGCGTATGTGGTCTAGGTGTTGCAATCGCGCTTTGTTATGCCGAGTAGGATCCCAGCTGTGGATGGTATGTCTTGCATTGGTTTTAACAATGGTACCGAGAGCTGTATTGGTTCTGCAACGTCCTGTAAAGGATACGCAACTAACAGTGATGGACATTCTCTGCGGTTTTTATTGGCACAAGAACACAACAGTAATGAGGTGACCGGTTTGCTAGAAAGTTGAAAGTACAATTACCTGCTGTATGCATGGCCATAGTATTTCAGTTTGCCAGCCAGGATCCTGTTTATGAGCCAGTTTTCTGCAAAGTTATTGTTCCTCCCTTATGTTTTCTACCCTCCGGTTGGCTACTTGAAGATTTCCCCACCCAGAGATTACAAACATTTTAATTTGGATGGCAAACCAACACATCATCAACCAGCAAGTCCTTTACAGAACCTCGCTCTCTTCACAACACGCCTGAAAGTATCCCTTTCCTTAGCCAGCCCTCCGGCCATCTTGAATGTCCTGTATCCATCTTCGCGGTGGTCGACCCCTGCCTTGCCTTCCACAAACAGCACCCTCCATCATTGTCTTTTCCAAGCCACCATGACACTTGATGTGGCCAAAATACTTCAACTTTGGGGACAGGATGCTGTTTATGAGCCAGTTCTCCTTGATGTCTAACTCGTGTAGAATGTCGGTGTTTTCCTCTTCTTGATCCATAGTATTCTGAGATTTGTTTCTGTAACATTTAAATTCAAAAGCTCCAATCGTTTTCTTCAGTGTTTCAGTGAGAGTCCAGGACTCACAACCGTAAGTTGCCAAAGGAAAAATGCACGATCTCAAGATTTTTATTCTAACTAATTTACAGGTGCTTTGCCATAGGTTCTTCATGTGGTTCAATCTCTGCTTAAGAAAACAAACAGAACATGTCCTAAATACTCTGTTCAGCCTCCAAAGAAGTTATCAATTGGAGCACCTGTGATGGTTACACAAACATGATGTAACCTTTTTTATTTGTATTGTTGTTTACATCACAGTAAGCTCTAATGTTATTTTAAAACCATAATCTGAAATTTGCAGCCTATTGTTTGTTCAAGTTCACCAGCTGTAAATCCTGGCGGAAAGACCTGGCTGTTCGACTATTTCAGGACTTTGGCTCTGTATCAGGACCTGACCTTTGCGTGTGCATCCATTTTACAGATCTTGCCTATTTTTATGCAGACTGTTGGTTCCTTTCCTCAGGTAGATGCACTCTGACTTTGAAGGAAGCACTCAATTAGTCAACACTTATGACATACTTGTCATACTTTGACAGTTCTGGTTCTGGCAAAGTGAGCAATGCCAACTGTGAACTGTGTTAGGTGAAAAGCCCTACAGACAAATGTTCAGATATGATAGAATGTTTATAAATTTCTCCTAATACACAGTATTCTAAGAATGTTTACGATCAGATGACTCTGTTTCCTGCTTCGGTATTTAAAGTAAAAGTAAAGGACCCTTTTTGCAGCCTTCAGGTGTATTGGGCATATAGGGCTAAACCTATATATTATAGACCAAATGGCACTCTGTGGGTGATGTGGTCAGCATCACGCCAACCACGTTTACTTCTCTGGACTGTACCTGGTATCCACTCAAGGCTGCGTCGACCTGGCAGCAAAAATTATTTACAAACAAACAAAAACAAAAAGTCTGGCGCCGTATGGACCCGAAGCCACAACCTTCTGATCTGCAGGCCAGCATCTAGCTGCTAGACCACAATGGCTCTCTTCTTCATTATTTGACATATACAAATGTCCCCAATCGGTATCTGTGGCTTAGACTTTGCCGATGCACTTCGGCCTGTCGGGTTCAATCCCAGCTGCACGCTATTTGTCAGCAGATCGCCTCGCGTTGGTTTCAGCAGTAGTATCCACAGCTGACAATTCAGAAAGCAAAGGCAAACTATTAAACCATGCCTTTAGTCCTTGTTCAGTCATGTTTACTGCCAGGGACCTTTGACACAGGCTCAACACTAGGATACCAAACTGTCAAACATTTTCCCTGTATCTTGACTTCATTTCTTTGTTGATGTTGTCCCATCTCTTATTTTACCTATCCCTCTCTTTGTTCCTATCAGATACCTGGCTTTAATCAGCTATTGATGATAAATATTTTTTAATCTTTCTATTATCCATTATTTTTTTATTTGTATAAGAAAGACAAATTATTCCAACCACCCAAACAATGCATATTTGTAAATATTAAAAGGTCTATTTCTTTTTCTTTAAAAATTTTTTTTTTCATTGAAGATATATTTGACAAAACTATGAGCATATTTACAAAAAACAAATGTTTCCCTGTTGTAAATTTGCACATTAAAGGCACAAACAACAGACTGCACAATTTATTGCCTGGCATATTTTGCCGTATCTTGTCAGGTGCATACTACAGTATGATTTGTGTCTTCTTTGTTTATATTTAAAAATAACAATTTAAATATTTACATCAAAACAGCTTGCATGTACAGTCAATTTCTCTCTTCCTTTTCAACTCTCTCTCTTTTTTATAAATATATTCTCTATGTTTTATACAGCTGATATATCGGACTACTATTATTATTTGCACACTTCAATTATTCCCTTGTGGTTTGCAATGAAAGTTAAAAATTTTAAGTTTTTTTTTTTCATGTGCATCAATACAAACACTAATATTTCGATTCTCTCCCTTATGTAGCAGAATGTCTGCCTGAAAGAAACTCGATTTCTTGTCATCAGCACTTTCATATCCAAGGAATCACTTGTATTATGTACCCACTTTCATGTTTGTCAGCCCATGCCTCTCCTTCCTTGTACAATGCTTTCTGCTATTTGTTTTTTGGTTTTTTGGAGGGGATCCAGCATAGTGCTTGATATGACCAAAAAATTTCAGACAAGATGCTGTTTATTAGTCGAAACACTTAGACTACAAATTATGCAATAAAATACAGAAAAGCAACACCTTGCTCACATGCACAAAACCACACATACCAATAATAAAACTAAGACTACTCACAAATGTACATCGTCATCAAGTGTTTAGCCGACAGGTGCAGGCTATTTTGTCTCTTCACAATCTGCGATCTCCACCAGAATATTTATCAGCTCAAGTACTGACACCCTACCATGACTATAGACTGTCAAATAGTCCAGGATATATGTCATATGTTCAAACCGGCTTTACACAGCATGTGAGTAATCTTTTTTGTAACATCTAATAAGGTAGATTTATTAGCAATAGATATTCTTCCTTTTATATAATTCATTTTACCTGCCTTTTCTGTTGTTTTTCTCGATGATAAACTTCTATCTGATGTTCTTGATGTGCTTAGAAACTTGTCCCAATGCAATGCCAGCGAAATTTACAGTACATTTAGGCACCATTTAAATTCATTAAAATTACAACTACTTCTGTCATCCCATAATTCAGACGTACACAAATACAACTAGTGATGATTTCATACTGAATAAGAACAACGAGAAGACTTGATGCTGGGGTGACACAAACTTTACAGAATATGTCTGGCTCTCGTGGCTGTTTTCAAAATACCAATGACAAGAAAGATGAATTTCATAATCCCTGTGTCAGCTCTCAGTGTGGCCGTGAAAGCGCTTTGATGTTCCTACTTTTATGAATGTTCCAGCGTCGGCCACAAATTATTCCTCACTTCATATTCCTCAAAGGCTGCTCCTGTTTTTCAGTCACAAATCCACTCTATTGGTACAATCTGCAGAAGTGACAGAGAGAACAATACTTTAATTATGTGCTTTCAAGTGTGTGCCTGTGATAGACACATAGATAGGTACAAATGTATTAAATGCTGTATAGAATGATTTCAATGTGCCCCATTTTATCCTAAATGGTTTGGTATCTCTGTGCACAGTGGGCTAGTCACCTGTGAGAGCATTGCACTAAACACATTTCTGTAACTTCAGCAATCTTTTTCGTCTTCTTCCTCGCATTCACCGACTGTGAATTCCGGCAGAAAATTCCAGTTGTTCATCCACTTCTGAACTCTGGTCTTATTGCAGAACCTGAGTCTGTGTGTCCATCCACTCATTTGTGTAGAGACTGTTGGTTCCTCACCTCTTAGAAAGATGCACTTCAAGCACTTCCGACTTCAAAGGAAACACACTAATTGTTAGCCTCCAATGACATGCTTATTTCAGAAGCAGTAGGTCTATTCTTCCCAAACACCCCACCCCCCCCCCCTCCCCCAAACAAAAAAAGGACCCGGGAACCCACATGTGAAGGGCCCCACAACTCATACAAGGAGCTTTAACACTGACCCCTGTTTCTAAAAACAACTACAATCAAGAACTGAATAATTAAATATAAAATCAAACCGACAAACTTCAAATCACAAGGCAAACAGTTTAACCTCTTTAACCCTCAGACTCTCTAAGTTTAACCTTCTACCTGAGATTCTCAGAGTTTAACCTCCTTGCCTCAGAGATTAACTGCTTTGCCTTGGAGACTCACACAGCTGAATCCTTTTGCCTCAGAGTTTCCCAGATTTTAACCCCTTGGCTTTAGAGACTCTTAGATTAACTGCTTTGCCTCAGAACTTAACCCCTTTGCCTCGGAGCACTTACAGCTTAACGCTTTTGCCTCTGAGACTCAGAATTTAACCCCTTAGCCTCAGATTTTAACCTCCTGGCCTTAGAGTTTAACCCTCTGGCCTCAGAGGCTCTCAAACTGGCTGATTCCATGTAAATGACAAATCATGTGTGAGTGTGTAACTGTTTTATCATCATCATGTGGCAGGTCCTTTGCAGAACGTCGCTCTCATCACAGTCTGCCTGAAACAGACTCAGTCTCTCACCAGCTCTCCCACCTTGGGTACTTTCATAATCAAGGAGTCACTTATATCCTGTGCCCATCTTCGTGTTGGTCGGACCCTGCCTCTCCTTCCTGGTACCATGCCTTCTGCTATTATATTTGTCGACTCCACCATGACACTTGATATGGCCAAAATATTTCAGCTTTTGAGACAAGATGCTATTTATTAGCCAATGTTCCTTGATGTTCACATCTTTTAGAATGTTAGTATTTCTTGTCTTCTTTGTCCTCTGTATTGTGAAACATTTTTATACCATCTACAGCAAAGATGCATGCTCTCAAAATTGTAACTCTGATTTCCTTGCTGGTGCTTAACCATAGACTTTTAATGCTGTTTAATGTTTGTATTGCTATACCCATCCTGCTTTTGACTTCTGTTGAACAGTCTCCGTTGATGTTTATTATGGAGCACAGTTTGTGACATTTTCAATTTCAATTGTTATTTTTAGGTGACAGCCAGTCTGTGGAAATAATTTTTGCTTTATTTAAATTCAAGTACAGGTTTTGAATTTCTGTGTTTTCGGACAGGCATGAATAATTGTTCTAATCCCTTTGCATCATTTGAAAGGAGGACTGTCTCATCTGCAAAGGGAAATTCTGGAATAGGGTTGCCACCGCCAACACCTCTCACAAGCATGTCATAAAAGATGACTTATTCAGGGGTGTTTCCTTCAAAGTTAGAAGTTGCTTGAAAGGCAAGGAACTAGCAGTCTGGACACAAATAAGCTAGATATGTGAAACGGATATGTAAGCAAAATTCAAGTCCCGGAACAAGACCAAAGCCCGGAGTTTACAGGTGCTGAACACGGAGACTCAGTTCATGATCAGGTAGGAAATGAATATAAAAAAAAGGTAAAGTCGGGAGATGTGAACCAGCGTCACTGCACACGGTTATAAACCATAGGTGCTCTGCCAACCAGTATGGACAAATGATAAGAAACTGTGCCGCCTGTGTCGCCGTCCTCATGCAACTCGGTAGCGACGTTCCTCCATTTACCCCAGAGTGTTCACTCTAGTATCCATTACCTAGAGGGTGAACCCTGGAAACCGTCCGGTTTCGAACACCGGCCGTGGGCTGCAGCGAGTCGCAGCTGTTTTTAGAAGCGAGAGGGAACCAGCAGTCTGGACACAAATAATAGGGAATGAATATGTAACTTACCATACGAGGTGGGGACCAGAGGTTCATAAGAGCAAATATCTCTTTACATAGTGCCGTGATTTTCTGAAACACTGACATGGACGTCTTCCAAACGTTATTGCGAAAGTCCTAGAAGCAAAAGATATGTAAACATAACATATGCATCACTATATTATGTCATACAAAACAGTGTCAAAGTTAAAGTACTTGTACATCAGTCACACTGCATAGTGCTATGCCCACAGCACCATGTTATATGACTGCTATATCTCAGTCACCATGTTATATGACTGCTATATCTCAGTCACCATGTTATATGACTGCTATATCTCAGTCACCATGTTATATGACTGCCATATCTCAGTCACCATGTTATATGACTGCCATATCTCAGTCACCATGTTATATGACTGCCATATCTCAGTCACCATGTTATATGACTGCCATATCTCAGTCACCATGTTATATGACTGCTATATCTCAGTCACCATGTTATATGACTGCCATATCTCAGTCACCATGTTATATGACTGCCATATCTCAGTCACCATGTTATATGACTGCCATATCTCAGTCACCATGTTATTTGACTGCTATATCTCAGTCACCATGTTATATGACTGCCATATCTCAGGCACCATGTTATATGACTGCCATATCTCAGTCACCATGTTATATGACTGCTATATCTCAGTCACCATGTTATATGACTGCCATATCTCAGGCACCATGTTATATGACTGCTATATCTCAGTCACCATGTTATATGACTGCTATATCTCAGGCACCATATTATATAATTGCTATATCTCAGTCACCATGTTATATAATTGCTATATCTCAGTCACCATGTTATATGACTGCCATATCTCAGTCACCATGTTATATGACTGCTATATCTCAGGCACCATGTTATATGACTGCCATATCTCAGTCACCATGTTATATGACTGCTATATCTCAGTCACCATGTTATATAATTGCCATATCTCAGGCACCATGTTATATGACTGCTATATCTCAGTCACCATATTATATGACTGCTATATCTCAGTCACCATATTATATGACTGCTATATCTCAGGCACCATGTTATATGACTGCTATATCTCAGTCACCATATTATATGACTGCTATATCTCAGTCACCATGTTTATATGACTGCTATATCTCAGTCACCATATTATATGACTGCTATATCTCAGGCACCATGTTATATGACTGCTATATCTCAGTCACCATGTTTATATGACTGCTTATATCTCAGTCACCATGTTAAATAATTGCCATATCTCAGTCACCATGTTATATGACTGCTATATCTCAGTCACCATGTTATATGACTGCCATATCTCAGTCACCATGTTATATGACTGCTATATCTCAGGCACCATATTATATAATTGCTATATCTCAGGCACCATGTTATATAATTGCTATATCTCAGTCACCATGTTATATGACTGCTATATCTCAGTCACCATGTTATATAATTGCCATATCTCAGGCACCATGTTATATGACTGCTATATCTCAGTCACCATGTTATATGACTGCCATATCTCAGTCACCATGTTATATGACTGCCATATCTCAGTCACCATGTTATATGACTGCTATATCTCAGTCACCATGTTATATAATTGCCATATCTCAGGCACCATGTTATATGACTGCTATATCTCAGTCACCATATTATATGACTGCTATATCTCAGTCACCATATTATATGACTGCTATATCTCAGGCACCATGTTATATGACTGCTATATCTCAGTCACCATATTATATGACTGCTATATCTCAGTCACCATGTTATATGACTGCTATATCTCAGTCACCATATTATATGACTGCTATATCTCAGGCACCATGTTATATGACTGCTATATCTCAGTCACCATGTTATATGACTGCTATATCTCAGTCACCATGTTATATAATTGCCATATCTCAGTCACCATGTTATATGACTGCTATATCTCAGTCACCATGTTATATGACTGCCATATCTCAGTCACCATGTTATATGACTGCTATATCTCAGGCACCATATTATATAATTGCTATATCTCAGGCACCATGTTATATAATTGCTATATCTCAGTCACCATGTTATATGACTGCTATATCTCAGTCACCATGTTATATAATTGCCATATCTCAGGCACCATGTTATATGACTGCTATATCTCAGTCACCATGTTATATGACTGCTATATCTCAGGCACCATGTTATATAATTGCTATATCTCAGGCACCATGTTATATAATTGCTATATCTCAGGCACCATATTATATAATTGCTATATCTCAGTCACCATGTTATATAATTGCCATATCTCAGGCACCATGTTATATGACTGCTATATCTCAGGCACCATGTTATATGACTGCTATATCTCAGGCACCATATTATATAATTGCTATATCTCAGTCACCATGTTATATAATTGCCATATCTCAGGCACCATGTTATATGACTGCTATATCTCAGTCACCATGTTATATGACTGCTATATCTCAGGCACCATGTTATATGACTGCTATATCTCAGGCACCATGTTATATAATTGCTATATCTCAGTCACCATATTATATAATTGCTATATCTCAGTCACCATGTTATATAATTGCTATATCTCAGTCACCATGTTATATAATTGCTATATCCAAGGTTCAATGTTATATGATTGCTACATCTCAGTCAGTCACCATCTTCTATGATTGCTTGATCTCAGACGCCATGTTATATTAGTGATATATCTAAGTCACTAAAGGAAACTAAATCCAACTCCTCTTTGCAACACATAAGCAGTGGACAAAAAAAGATTTAAGAGACAAAAGAAGATTTAAGGTACAATGTTATACCAGTGCTATAACTAAGGCATCATGTTATATCACTGTTTATATCTAAGGAACAATGTCATTTCAGGGCTATATCTAAGACATCAAGTTATATCAGAACTATATCAAAGGCACAATGTCCTTTAAGTGTTGTATTTAAGGCACAATTTCATTTTCATGATAATATCCAACATCAGTGCCATCAGTGCCACTATAACTTTCATCTTCTCAGTCTTGCAGAATCATAAATATATGAGCTACTATGTTTCTATATATATATAGCCACCATGCTATATCAGCGATATATATATACACACATATATAGCCACTATGCTATATCAGTGCTTTACATATATAAGCCACCATGCTATATCAGTGCTTTACATATATAAGCCACCATGCTATAGCAGTACTTTACATATATAAGCCACCATTCTATATCAGTGCTTTACATATATAAGCCACCATGCTATAGCAGTACTTTACATATATAAGCCACCATGCTATATCAGTGCTTTACATATATAAGCCACCATGCTATAGCAGTACTTTACATATATAAGCCACCATTCTATATCAGTGCTTTACATATATAAGCCACCATGCTATATCAGTGCTTCACATATATAAGCCACCATGCTATATCATGATTTGATTTCTTCTTCTTTCTTTGTGTTCACCAGCTGTACACTCTGGCGTAAAGTTCTGGTTGTTCGTCCACTTCTGGACTGCAGTCATGCTCCAGAACCTGAGTGTTGCATGTGCATCAGTTTTACAGATCTGATTCAATTGAATGCAGACTGCTGGTTCCTTGCCTCTCAGGCAGATGCACTCCGACTTCAAAGGAAGCTCCCCAGTTAGTCGACTCTTACGACATGCTTTTGGGGAGGCAGTGGGTCTATTCTTGTTTTCCCCACAATAGGGCCCCGGAACCCACACGGGGGATGATTTGATTTGATTTGATTCAAGAACCGACATTACAGCACTCGGGGCTTTCCCATAAGTGCTCCATCCCCATTTTCAGCAGCCAGTGAAGAGTTCCGATACTAATGGTTCCAGTAGCATTCTGATTAAACGTTCGTCTTGCCTTTCCTCTGAGCCTTAAGCTTCTGCCAGAACCTCTCGTCACCCCAACTGCATCAATCTCACCAGACTGTGGTGATCCATCTGCTCCTCCGAACTGTACACGCTCTCCCACAAGGCACTAACCACGTCTGCCTTATCATGTATCAGTATTCCACCAAGTTGTGCAGAGCCAGCCAGTCTGTTCGCCTGTTCATTTCCCAACACACCGGCGTAAACCGGTGAAAAAATCGAGACAATACTCCTCACTCGTGTCCTCCGCAGTGAAGCATGCCACTCTGCACGAAGCATACCTGTTCTGATCTTCCTCAGCATGCTTTCTGAATCAGTTACAATCACGATGTGTGTGTGTGTGTGTCGTGTTCTCTAGCCAGCAGAAAAGCTGCAGTGACCGCCTCCACCTCCATTCTTAAGCTGGACGTTGTGGTATCATATGCTAGGCTCTCCAGTACCAAACGTCGACCCTTAACTTTTGCTAAGAAGCCCCAAGCACTTCTTTTGCCTCTTGACACTGAACTGTCTGTGTAAATGAAAAGCTTTACGTGTGTAAGCCACCATGCTATATCTAAGGCACAATGTATTTAAGTGCTGTATTTATAAAAGTCTTAACAACTAGTCACACTTGAATATTATCTATGATAAAACTATGCCACTGACAGCTGCCATGTGCTATCTGTGACTGACAATGCAAGTCTTCTTCTGACCTATTTTCACCAGCCTTAATTTGACGTATGTGAACTGATGTATGACAATCTAGATGTAAGGGCCTTTGAGATTTGGAATCGAAAACAATGCAGAGGTACAAATAGATCACTAGGTCTTAGAATGATGCTGCGCGGAGTTAAAAGGGGATATGGCCCATGCTCAACACACAAGGAAAAGGTGAACTGATGTACAATCAGACAGTTATTGGTACCATCGGCACTGGAACTCTTTGCTTGCTGCTGAAGATGGGAACAGAGAGATTATGGGAGTGATCTGAGTGCTATGATGTCATTCTTAATTCAACATTCAGTAGATTTTTTGTTTTCTGCAAAGAGATGGCAACACTGGTCATGAAATTCTGGTCTTGCTAGTCACACTCCTCACGTGGGTTCTGGCAAAGGGGGAGAGGGCAGGGGGGCTAGAACCACTTCTCCTCAAACAAGCATGTCACATAAGGCAACTAATTGGGGTTGGTTTTGTTCAAAATCAGAGTGCATCTGACTGAGAGGTGAAGAAACAACCATCTGCACACACAAAAGCCAGGTAAGTAAAAACCAGATGTGCCGGGAAAACTTAAGTTCCGGAACTAGATTAAAATCTAGAGGTGGTTGAACCAAAAGAGTTTACAGGCGGTGAATACTACCTCGAAGACAAAGCTAGCTGAACTCACTACCATCCATAGTTGAGTTGAGTTGAGTTAAGTCAAGAATTGACATCACAGAACTGGGCATTCCCATGCATGTTCCGTCCTCATTTTCAGCAGCCAGCGCAGAGTTCCAATACTGATGGTACTGGTCATAATCTGGTTAAAAGTCCGTCTTGCCTTTCCTCTGAGTGTAGTGAGCCGGCCAGACCCTCTGAGTGTAGTGAGCCGGCCAGACCCTCTGAGTGTCGTGAGCCGGCCAGACCCTCTGCCGAGGTGCCTCATTCTTTCCAGGCGATAATAATCTTCTTTCTCTACTGATTCCGTTGCTTGTTCTTAAAGGGCTTTGACCACATCTGCCCTGTCATGTATCAATTCACTACCCAGTGGTGCGGATCCAGCCAATCTGTCTGCCTGTTCATTACCCACCACGCTGGCATGGCCTGGAGACAAGATAAAAAGTATGCTACCCGTGACCTTTTCAGTGAAGCTTGCCACTCTGCTCGAAGCATCCCTGTCTTCACCTTTTTTCAGCATGCTTTCAGAGTCTGTTACAATTACCACATGTGTATGCATTTAGTTCTCTAGCCACCGGGAAGCTGCAGTTACCGCCTCCACCTCCATGGGGTGTGATTCCCAAAACTTCTCACAGCACAGGGCTATTCCACTCTCAGCCCACGGACCAAATCACTGCCAGCTGTATTGTATTCATGATCTTTCTACGCTGGGGTTCAGGCCAGTGACAATCCCCATTTTCAATATTTTGGCCCCTGAGTAAACTTAGCTGAATAGCTCTGCCACAGCGCAATAAATCACTTTTGTCTGAAAAGGCAGAAAGGTGCCAACAAAAACATAGAAAGGTGCCAACAAAAACATACTGGTGTAAATTTTGGACCAAAACATATAAACTACTGTGGTGTCTGTTTGTTTTAATTCCTGTGTGAATTCTGGGGCCCCCATTATAAGGAAAACAAGAACAGACACACACTGCCTCCCCAACAAGCATGTCGTAGTAGTCGACTAATTGGGGCTTCCTTTGAAGTTGGAGTGCACCTGCCCGAGCGGCGAGGAACAACCAACAAATAAAGCCGGTAAAATGGATGTACATGCAAAACTCAGGCCCTGGCATAAAACCAAAATGCAAATGGAAGAACATCCAGTTTCCAGCCGGTGAAGAAAGAAGGAGATGATTTGTTAGGGCAAGCCTTACTAGCCTCCACCTGTCCATGCAGTGAGGTGCAGTAAGATTATGTCGCAGCAGCTTTGCTTATATTATTAACTGCAATGTATTGTGTCCGCATTATTTACATTACTAACTGTGCAATGTATTGTTTGTGTCCGCATTATTTATATTACTAACTGTGCAATGTATTGTTTGTGTCCGCATTATTTATATTACTAACTGTGCAATGTATTGTTTGTGTCCGCATTATTTATATTACTAACTGTGCAATGTATTGTTTGTGTCCGCATTATTTATATTACTAACTGTGCAATAAATTGTTTGTGTCTGCATTATTTATATTACTAACTGTGCAATGTATTGTTTGTGTCCGCATTATTTATATTACTAACTGTGCAATGTATTGTTTGTGTCTGCATTATTTATATTACTAACTGTGCAATGTATTGTTTGTGTCCGCATTATTTATATTTCTAATATCTAAATTAGCTATATATACAATCTGACAGTATGTTCCTAAGGACATACATCCTTACATCTTCCTCTACACATGACGTCATAGTCTTGTACTGCTGGTCTTCCTCTTTCCTGTCAAGATCTGATGAAAAGAACAACATCTGTAATTTTTGTGTATGCTTCTGGCTTGATTTGTTTGAATGAAATATAAACATGTCTACAAATACAGATTCTCCTCAACTTACGACCTATTGACTTAACGATAATCCAAACTAACAACCATACAAAAATTAACAAATTGAAAAATAGTCAATAAAGATGTCTACAGTGGTTCCTTGCCTCTCTGGCAGATGCACTTCAACTTTCTAAGGCCCAGCATGCATGTCTAAGAGTCAACTAAGTGGTAGCTTCAGAGTGATCTGCCTGAGAGGCAAGAAACCATGGTAATTTTTCCAGTCGTAGGGTCAAAAGGTTCCTGCTACTGATGCCTAGATCATGGCAGGGTTTAGATGTCAGAGTCTGTTTGTCCTGCCAGATATGGCAGACTGTCTGAAACCACAGGCCTCCCACTACCTAGTGGTGAAACAAAGGGATTCGACTTGCTGCCCATTTACAGGAACCGAACTTGGTCGTACGTCGAGACCCTGAAGTACCAAATCCTACAGGTGGGAAGAAACCATGGACAATCAATAGTAAGGTGAGATTTCACAAAATCATATGCAAGTTTCATTTGTAGGAAATACAGATACCCAAAGATTTTAATGTGCCACTAGCGATGACATGCCCAGTTAACAATGCAAACAAATTTTAAACTGTCGCCTGAAAGCTAGACATCGTAACA